TTTTCATCTTCAGGATGCTGGGTCCCCAGTAACCCATTCGATTATCTTACTTCATTTTCAGACTGTATTCTTCCTCACTTCCTCCCCAGTGAGTGCTCTGGGCATCTTGCGTGTACAAACAGAGAAGAGTAGCATTATTACAGGAGCTCTCAGGAGGAGGACAATGAGAACTGGTAAATGCACTGCCACAGTAGTTAGAATGGGTGGGAAGCCCATTTGGGAGACTCTGTTGCAAAGTATTGGTGCCTTGAGAGGGCGGACATACTCAGGTCTAGCGTGCACCAGTGAAGATCGGATTCACCTTCTGGGTGACTTGGATGAAGGTAGTTCTCCGGCTCAACTCCTTTGGCTTAGCTGCTCCCACATAGGTGCATATAGATCGGATCCCTCCTAGGATGTCACGAATGATATGCTCCACATCCCCTTTAAAGGGGACTTCCACCGTCTTTCCCTCTGAGGCCCTGTACTCTGCCACACCACCAGTTGCCATGGCCATTTCAGAACTCATTCCAAAGAAAAGTTTGTACTTCTTGCCATCCCTCTCCATGAGCTCACCACCTGACTACTGTGCCCATCCAGCATCACAAAGTCAGCCCCTGCCCCCAGAGCTTTGGCCACATCCCCAGGGCAGTGCCACCTCCATCTGGAGTGATGTGGCCTTTGAGGCCATGAGCAGCATCTGCACTCTCCATCACTGCACTGAGCTGTGGACACCCCACTTCAGTTTTCTCCTGGGTCATACACACAGAGCCTGGCCCAATCCCCACTTTGATGATGTCAGCCCCAGAGAGGATCAGCTCTTCCACCATCTCTCCTGTTGCCACATTCCTGCCATGAGGGTGTGTGAGGGAAATGCTTCTGTACAGCCTTTACAGATTGAACCAAGTGTTCAGAGTAGCCCTTTGCCACATCTAGGCAAATCTATTTCACCTGGGGAATAGCTTCCAGGATCTGTTCCAGTTGCTCAAAGTCAGAAGAGCCTGTCCCTGAACTGGCAGCCAGATGCTCAAGAGAATCAGGATTCTGGCCAGCCAACTCTTGCCACCGATAAAGACTGTGATGTTTATAGACAGCAGTGAAGAGGGAGAACTCACAAAGAACCTGGCCATTTCAAAGGTGCCTACAGTATCCATATTAGCAGCAACGATCGGGACGCCAGTGTACATCCACTTTGAATTCTGAAATGGAAAGGATCTTGTGAGATCCACCTCACTTTGAGACTACAGTAGGGTGCTGCGTTTTGGCCTCAAAAGAACATCCTTGAAGTCTCGTTTCACGTCATTGTTGATATGAGGCATGGCGGGTCGGAATCTGAGTGTTTCTGTTGCCTTGGTGTCAGCTGACCCACTTTTTTATTTTTTTAAGCCATGGAACCAACTTTCTGGCTGCTCGCTAAGCTGTGTTGTAAGAATCCTGCCTCAGGAGAGTTTAAAGCAAGTCCCACGGTTTGATTATCAAAATTCCACTCACTGCTTAGAAGTTCCCTTTCCCCTCAATTTCCCACTCGCTGTCATGCCTCTGTCCCGTCTCTTATCCCCACCTCCATGTCCCTGGTGCGCATTGGTTGTAACATTGTCCTCTTGGCGTGGGTAGCTGAGGTTCAGCAGCAGCACAGCTCCACCTGGGCCTGTCACTTGGTGATCCGAGGAAGACCATCTGCCCTCTGAGAGGCTTGGTTTCTTGATCTGCAGTTATCAGTCCTTGCCTTACAGTGTTGTGAGGAAGAATCAGTGTGTGAAAAGACCTCTGAAAACTCCCAAGAAACACAAGAACATTCAAGGGCACCTCTGTCTGCCTTCTGAGCATCGTGGCACCTGATAGAGGGGCTGCCTCTCTTCCGGCACAATCTTAGATGGAGTAGGAGGAATGATCCTTTAGGGTGTCTGGATAAAGAGTGAAAAGTAAAACCTCAACACAAACTTAGTGAACACGAATGATGACGGTCGAGATGGAGAGGAGACAGGGAGCCTTTTCAAGTACGGAGGGGAAATTCCAGACCTGACGGTGGCGGAGGACTTTTTCAAGGAGGTTTCAGGATTTCAGATGCAAATTCCAGAGCTCCGCATGCACTACCTCTCCTGAGCCTCCTTCCCTGTGAGAGCTCTCCCCTGGGAGTTGTAGAATGAGACCTAATTTTTCATATGCTTTCATGTGACTCTCATGATGAAGAGCCGGAGAGCATCAAAGGACCATCACAGGTTGGTGTGTCCAAGTGACGCCGACCCACGCACAGGCCATGTCCCCTCCTTCGGGGGGCTTGTGGGCCAAGCACCACTGTCCCATGTGATGCTGTGATAAAACGTGGCCAGCCAACAGACACAGAATTGTGTCCCTTCTCCAATCCATGACACTGGTCAATGTGACCTAGTGGATTTCTCTGAACAAATATATTTGACCAGCCATGTCTTTCTGCTTCTGGAGAAATTTGAGAACACAGCTACTTAAAGAGCCCCACATGGGTGTGGGGAAAGGGGATATAAGCACCTTGTAGATCTGGCAGAGCAAGATGCCAAAAAGACTGACTCCTAAGGTTAGAACAGGTGAAGGGAAAGGCCAGACTGGTGACAGAAGCAGTGTTAATTGCACAACAATACCACTCGGTGGCTCCAGGAAGAACTGCACAGAGCGAATCAGACCTCAGAGCAGATTTCCCCTTGCAGCTCCTGGCTCCAGGGCACTGGGTGAATTTCACAAAACAGGCATTGTAGAAGTCTTGCTGATTATTACAAATGTATGTTAAGTATTTCAAAGAAGTATTAGCAGTGTTTGCATTTTGTGAAATCGTTTCTGATGGTGCCGGGAGGGCAGGAGACCTGCAGTGCTCTGTGTCTGCTCATTGCCTAGTCCCCTTGTTCTTCTCACCAAGAAGGTGTCCATTCCTGGAGGACATTGCTGTTTCTCATCCCTGAAAGGTGGGCTAGTTTGGCGAACAGGCAAGTGCTTCGCGAGACACAGATCTGAGTTTCCACACTCACTCTTCCAGGATTATCTCTGTGATCTAAGGAAAATTATTTACTTGGAAGACTCGTTTTCCAAATCTGAACAGTGAGGATCAAGATGACTATCTTAAAAAGTCATTGCAAGGAAGATTGTCTCATGGGTGAACAGTGCCAGGTTTTATTGGGTACTTAGTATTTATATTTATTGCTGCAAGAATACAAGGCGCAACTATAGCATATATGCTTGCATTTTTCATTTTGAAGTTGGTGAATGCAGTATATTTTCAAAAATGCAGCTAAAAAGCACTAAAGTACAATGCTTCTTTTATTTTCCATTCTTAAGATGTCTCGGAGCCCACAGGATTTCCACAGGTCCTTTGGTTCACCTAAACCCCAGTCTAACCCCTAGGAGGCTCCTTGTTTGTGTCCCCTTTCTCTTTCCTTCCCTCTCCAAGTAAAATGATCTTACAGAGAGGGACCTTATTTAGGCACCTGTCTGTCCAGGCAGCACCCCGGCCTGTTAGGCCTTACCTTCAACCTCAGGTGGTTTATCAGGACATTTGCCTAAACGAAGTCGTTTCTCTCTTAAAAAAAAAAAAAAAATCCTAAGCCAGCTGTTAGGCTAGTAAACTTTGTATGGAAGGCCAAGGAGTAGATGCAGCTCTGGAGCTGTGGGAGTGGACAGACTGAGGAGCATGGGGACAGCACTGGGGACAGCAGGACAGCAGCAAGGAGGACCTGCAGCCTGGCTCTGTGAGAGGAGGGCAGAGGAGAGTGGGGAATGGAAAGAGTTGAGGAGAAAACCATCAGGAATAGGATGCAGGCTGCAGAGGGAGGCCAATTTGTGAGCACGTTCATCACTTCTGGGAGACTTTGAGGCATAATAGAGAGTCTGTGGAAGCCGGAGGTCCCCTACATACGCAGGCACTAGAGACAGGAAAGCTGCCCGTGACTGAGTCTTACAATTGCTCGTGAGGCCTGAGGACGTTCGTGTTGTGATGTGAGTGATCCTCGCCCTGTGCTGGGAAAGCAGCTAACCTACAGGTTTGCTCTGGGACACCAGAATCCTGTGACTTCTTGTGGTGCATTAGCATATCTAATTTTAAAAGCGGAGCACCTTCTCATGGGTTGCTTTGAAAATTAATTGGAAAACCACTCATATTTCTTCATGGTCTCCTTATAACTCAATCCAAAAGACAAGCCCAGAGGAAGCTCTTCTGGAATCCTGTTCGCACTTCCCCGACTTTGTGGAATCCGAGGCCAGAGACGTGCCGGCCACGGAGATAGGAGACACGGGTGCTCAGAGAGGCTGCTTCACACTGGGGCTCAGAACCCCCCAGCCCTGCCGTGGCCCTGAGCCTGCGCAGGTGGAGTGTCTTCATAACCTGAGGAATGAACACAGATCCCAGCCGCGCTCAGAGACAAGGACAGATCCCACTCTACAGTCATCACACTTGTGGGGACATAAATACGGGCCCCTCGGTTAGACTGAAGCTGTGGGTCATCACAGCTGTGGCAGGTACGTTGAGGAACTAAGGACAGAAAACAATTTTTACTTTAGAGAGAATATTTCCATCCTAATATATTATTTGTAAGTGTATCTGCTAACAAACTATATTCACGGTAGTCATCTAAACAGACCACCCTGAAGCAGAGATATTCTTTTTGGGTGGGGGGTACCAGGGATTGAATTTAGGGACACTCGACCACTGAGCACATCCCCGGCCCTATTTTGTATTTTATTTAGAGACAGGGTCTCACTGAGTTGCTTAGTGCCTCATTTTTTGCTGAGTCTGGTTTAGAACACTTGATCCTCCTGTCTCAGCCTCCCAAACCCTGGGATTACAGGTGTGCGCTAACACATGGGCTGAAGCAGCGGTATTTAATCAGACTTTTTAAGCTTAATTTCTGATGTCAATTTGAAAACAATCTGTTAAAAATAGTTCACTATTTTGATTGGTCACTTCTTTCACACTTGAGTTAAATGGAATTATTCAAGTTTTGATTCTGCTTTCTCACAGTGATCAATTGCATTTGAAAACTGTCTCTATTTTCTACAGAGAGATGAGGGAGATACAGCAAAAGGAGGAAGGGAGAGAAGGAAAGAGTGAACTTTGATCCAGCCCAGTTGGAATGGAAGCCAGGTAACCTATTGCAATCTAACGCCTTCCTTCCCTCCCTCCCTCCGTCCCACTCTCTCCTTCTTTCCTTCCCTCCCTCCCTCCCTCCCACTCTCTCTCTTTCTCCTTCCTCCCTCCCCCCCCTCTCTTTTTGTATTTCTATCTTGCATCTGGGTAGACAAGTGCTCTACCACTGAGCTCCACCCAGCCCTAAAAGCCAGCAGTGAAGAGCTACGCCTGGACTTCAGAGTCCTCATCTACCAAGTGAGGCCCGGGACCTCTGGGTTCCTGCCAGCTATGGTTCTCTGAAGACGCCAGCTTTTCCTTGTTCTTCCCTTTGTTCCCCTTTCTTTTCCTTATTAGCTCTATTCTTTGAGATCTGAATCTTGCCAGCTTTGTTTATTTATCTTCCTTTTTTTCTATGCCTCTATTTTTATCTAGTGGGAAAAGTCGTGTAAGGACCCCACTGTGGTGAGCCGTTTCTGTGAACTGTGGCCGCCATTACAAGATGGCGCTGGCTCCGCTGTGGTTTGTGATAAACAACTCCTTGTTTTGGGAGAGTTGGGCTGGGGCGCTCGGGTGAAGAGGTAGTAGTAGAAGAGTAGAAGTAGAGGTAGAAGTAGTAGAAGTAGTAATAGTAGTAGTAGTAGTAGTAGTAGTAGTAGTAGTAGTAGTAGTAGTAGTAGTAGTAGTAGTAGTAGTAGTAGTAAGAGAAGCTTCCAGAGACACATAATTAAAGGCCTGAATAAACTGCTGAGAGAAGAATCCTGTGTCGTGTCCTCCTTGCTGGCGAGGGGTCACAGCAGTTGGTGGCCCGTACGGGGAGTGGTCAAGAAAACTTTTGACTTTGGCGCCCTTTGGAGAGGAGTGGGAGGAATAAGGGATTACCTGATGTTCTTCTCAGAAACTGGAGAAACTGGATGGGAGAAATAAAACCAAAAGGCAAGGTCTCCCACACACCCAGTAGGATGGCTTTAGATGTCCTCACTGCAGCCCAAGGTGGTACTTGTGCCATTATTAAAACTGAATGCTGTGTATATATCCCTGATAATTCTGGCAATGTGACTACATGCTTAAAAATTTACATGCTCACAAAGCGGTCATGGCCTTGCCAACCTTGTCATGGGAGCAATTTCTTAGCTCCTGGTTCTCTGGTGCCTCCTGGTGAGAAACATTGTTAGTCTCTGTCATTGTCATCATTCTTGTTGGCATACTCCTATGCTGTGGCATTTATTGTTTCATTAATCTCATTCCAGGACTGATAATTTCTTATTTCTCTTATAGACTACCCATCACTCAAATGGCCTTCCAGCCTGTTACTTCTCAGTCAGACTTCTTCGATGGACCACTAGATAGACCCAGTTTTTAAAAGGGGAACTGATGAACCCAGCCTAATTCCATCTTAAGATTGAGAGCAATCATGTCACAAGGTCATGAAAAGTTAATTTCTGTTTTACTATAAATTACTGAAATTTCTAAACTTGCTTAGAATGATTGCCTGTGCCTTGAACTCACCTATGCCTGGCTTTCCCTGACCAGATAACAACCCTCTCTGAAACCTTAGTGGTGCCTCATAAGTTCTGGTGTTGGGATCTAACTTGAAATGTTGAACCATTTAGATCATTAACTTGCTACCTGCCTTTGTACTATGCTTGTTAAAATCCTGTTATCTGTAAGTTCTCAAGACACACCCCTTTTGCAACTTTTTGTGCTATAAAACCATGCTCCTAGAGAGCTGGGGTGCTGTCCTCTAATCCATGGATTTTGGGAGAGATAGTCCCAGCCAACTGGAATTACAAGCTTGCTTTAATTTGATTTAAAATTGGAGTCGGTGGTCTTTTCTTTGCATTGTGGTTTAACAGAACTCCAAACTGCTTGCTCCACACTAGTGCCTTTGACATGGTCGTTGCACCCCAAGTTATTCTAACATTGCACTGGGTTCGACATGTCCTTCTTTTGTCTTTCTTCTAGTGTTGGAAAGTCCTTGCACTCTGCAGGTCTTGCTGCCATTGCACGCAGATGGGTTTCCACACAGTGCCTTTGACATGGTCGTTGCACCCCAAGTTATTTTAACATTGCACTGGGATCGACATGTCCTCCTTTTACCTTCTTTCCAGTGTTGGAAAGCCCTTGCACTCTGCAGGTCTTGATACCATTGCACGCAGACGGGTTTCCACACTAGTGCTTATCTATCGCCTTTAAGTCCGTGCCTTTCTTTCAGGGTGCTGCCAACTAGTTTGTAGCTGTATTGCTAGACAGCCACAGTTCAACCTCAGTTATCCCCTCTTGTTCACCATCATCACGATACAGGATGCAAGGCAAGGCACTGCACTTGAGTGATCCATTGAGAAGAGGGACCTCCAGGGGAGCATGTCCTATTGCATGCATGTTTGACGTCCTCGCCCCATCCATGCCCCGCCCCACAAAAAAAGGCGTCGGCTAATATGGAGTCAGATCTGGGGAAGGCGCCTCCTTAGGACTGAGCCATACTATGCAACCACTTCTGCACAGTGGGATAGGACCTCTACTCTCGCCTGTATTGTCTTAGTAAAACAAAAAGGGGGAACTGTGGTGAGCCGCCATTACAAGATGGCGCTGGCTCCGCTGTGGTTTGTGATAAACAACTCCTTGTTTTGGGAGAGTTGGCACGTAGCTGTAAAACACCCTATGAGAAAGATCCACGTGGCAGTTGTGCATTGGGGCTTGATGTGCTTTATCAAGGCTGGAGCGCTCGGGTGAAGAAGTAGTAGTAGAAGAGGTAGAAGTAGAGGTAGAAGTAGTAGAAGTAGTAATAGTAGTAATAGTAGTAGTAGTAGTAGTAGTAGTAGTAGTAAGAGAAGCTTCCAGAGACACATAATTAAAGGCCTGAATAAACTGCTGAGAGAAGAATCCTGTGTCGTGTCCTCCTTGCTGGCGAGGGGTCACAGCACCCCATGTCCAGCCTGACGTTAACCTCGTGCTGATTACCAATGTGTGGTTTCACAGTGTGGAAGGAGTGGTCTGGCTCAGGTGGACCTGGGTTGGAGGCCTGGCTCTGCTGTTTGCTAGCTGAGGCCTTTGGGCAGGTCGGTGAAACCTCTGGTTCACCTGGAGAGTGAAGAACATCTTCCTCTCACATTTGCTGTCAAAGTGACCTGATCTACTGACTTTTGCCAACATATCCAGTTTTCTCCTTTGAGCTTCTGGCCTTCGAGAACTACCATATTCAGTCAAAAGTGTTCACGGAGTGCTTCCTGTGTGCAAGCACACCCCCACGTGCTCCGATGCCTTGGCGGACGGAGATGCCCGTCGAGCTCACGTTGAGAGACAAACAGGATCTGTGTATGTAATGGTGGGGATTCTAGAGTGAAGTCGAAGGTGAGAAAACAAACACCAAAGAGGAGAATCAGGGAGAGAGCAGGGTGGAGTGCTGACCAGCCAGGTCCAGAGGGGGCCAGGGATCCCTGCGGGAAGAGCCTCCCGGCCAGAGGGACGGAGGAGAGGAGAGGCCCAGGCTGGCAGCAGGAGGGGCCTGGCAGAGGTGGTAGATGACATCAGAGAGTTGATGGGAGTCCAGCTCACAGGGCCTTGGGCTGTTGTGGGAGATTTGGGTTTTTGTTGTTGTTGTTGTTGTTTGTCTGTTTAAAGATCATCATTTTTTAAAAATACTTGTTTTTAGTTTTAGGTGGACACAGCATCTTTATTTTATCTTTGTGAGGTGCTGAGGACCAAGCCCAGTGCCTCATGCATGCGAGGCGAGTGCCCTGCCACTGAGCCACAGCCCCAGTCTGAGGGAAACAGATGACCTTTAAAGTGTTTTAACCGAGAAATGCCCAGATTAACTTTGTTTTTCAGACAGACTCCTTGCAGCAGCTGTGATGAGGGCGGGGCGTCATGGCTTGCCGCCATTCTGCTTTGGGGACGCTGTGCATTGCCGGTGGTTGGGCTACCCCTGCCCCTCTGCCTTCTGGAGGCTACTCCATCACCTCCTCTAGTTGTGTCAACCCAAACTACCTCCAGATATTATCAAATGTGCCTGGTCGGGGCCTATCGAGGGGCAAGAATAGGAACTGGGGGAGGTTTTAGGAATTGACGGCAATTGTCCAGCCCAGAAACCACAGTGGGTCAGACTAGGGTAGTAGCAAGAAATGTGAGGAGCCATTGACTGGGTTCCGGAGAAACCATGAAGGTGGGTGGATGGATTCCTGGGAGACGGGAAGTAGGAGGTGAGAAGGAGAGGAGTCCAGAATGACCCAGAAGTCCTGGCTGCTGCACATGGAGGGAGGGAGAGTCCACCGACACAGATGTGGGAAATCAGCCAAGAACGTCAGGAGTGTGGTTTGGGATTGAGTCTGGGTGCTGTAGGCCTGAAGACTAAGAGCTATTTTTGAATCCTAAAAGAGAAAGTGGCGGATACAGTTAATGGGATTATCTCGTTTGCACTGGATAGAGATAGGTCTGTGATTCCTGACTAGTTCTCCGCTGTCTGGCTTTTCCAGTCAACATTTATGTCATCCCCAGACACACAGGATGCCCCTTTCAGTTCCTTGGCCTTAGAGTTCTCACCGTTCACATGACAATACCTGATGTTCCATGGCCACCAAGATCTGACGTCATTTTGTGTCCTTCCACCTCCATGTCGTGCTCACCTGCTCTGCAGCCTGCCCTCCTCCAGGATCCCACTGCAGAGCATGACCTCTCATCCTCTCCCTCGTTCATGTCCACCTCCTGCCTGTGGTGCTCACAGGAGAATCAACCCAACAGTGATTCCATAGGCACTTACTCAATAATGCCTCTGCCAAAGCTTAGCTTTCTTCCTGTGGTGTTTTTATTGTACCTTTGTGTGTGTGTGTGTGTGTGTGTGTGTGTGTGTGTGTGTGTTTATATAAAATGGTATATATTACTTAATATATATTATTTAGTTAATATATAAGATGGACATCATTACCCCAAGTACGTGTATGAAGACACAAATGGTGTGACTCTACTTTGTGCACAACCAAAGACATGAAAATTGTTCTCTATGTGTACTATGAGTTGAAATGTATTCTGCTGTCATATATAACAAATCAGAATAAATAAATTTTAAAATGTATATATATTAACTAAATAATTACTAAAATTTTTGTTTATATGCCTGTCCTATCAGTTTATAAGCCCATTTAGGTCAGGGATCATGTCTTATTTATCTTAGTAGAAATAGCAACACATTCCTTCCTCTTAAGTACCTATTATAGTTTTTGTGTGTGCTCAGTAAATATCCGTGGACTGAATCAATGAAAGGAGGAGTGACTGAAGGTGCCCTCTGCAGACGGTGTCCTGCTGAATGCTCTGTGGAATATTAAAAAAAGAAAAAAAAAAGGTTTAAGTATGGGCTCATTCAAACTTGATTCATTTAAGTATTCCTGTTTCAAAGCGCTTCCCTGCTGAACTGGAAACCACCTGCAGACGAAGAGAAAATGAATTCTGACATGTCAGCTGAGTGGCATGTGGCAGCTGTGGTGCAATGGGATGCATCTGAGGTCCAGGACCAGATTATCTGCTGGCTTTAGACTTCAGCCACCTTGAAATACCTCGGTGCATCAGTGTCGTCATCTGTAAAATGAGGTATTCAGATTATGTGATTGCTAAGGCCACTTCCAAAGCTAACACTTCATGATTCTAAAATGCTATGAAATCATCAGATTGCTGTCAGACTCAAAGTCAAGACTTGCCAAGGAGAGCCACTTGTGAATTGCTGGATGGCTAATGACCTTGAATGGACAACATAACCATTCACCAGAGAGAATAACAAATTATCATTCTTCTTCTCCTTGTCCAAGGCAAGGTGATTGGTTCCCAAATCCTGTACTGTTCTTAGCTCAAAGCCCCAGACATAGTTTGTGCCCCAGCTTCAATGTAGAGGACACAGCAAAGGCATTTGCTCTTTTATCTGGATGGAGAATGTGTGCCCAGCTCTCTTTGTTGGTGGGCAGAGTAAATGCACACCTTCTTACATCCAGTGGAAAATGTGACACAGTTCAGGTTGAGCTCTAACCAGCGTGTAGAGCATCACTTCTGGCACAATGAGAAATAGGAAAAAATACCCCTGTACAGCCTCAACCAAATTGGAATTGATATTTGTTGCAAAGCCTGGAGACTTGCCTCTTGGCAGAAGTTGATTTTTCCCAGTTGGTTGCAAAAGTCTAATGATATAAAACAACAGCTGGTCTTGTAATTCCTAATAGACTGCATCTGTCCCTGATATTTGAGAATGACCATGGCAGCATTCCTAGTAGGGATCTCAGTGAGCTGCAGAAGATAGTCTTGGTTAGTGTTTTTTTTTAACTTAATTAGACATTGTGCATACCCACAATTGTGCCCATGATTGAAGAATCTGGAATGAACTGGGGAGACAACAAAACAAGCATAAATTTATATTTGCTTAAAACAAAAACTAAACAGCTCACAA